GTACTGTATAGGACAAATAGCTATTTGTAGTCACATAGCGTCTGGGTCAGCCTGTATTTACACTCGCACAATGATCAAATGTTTTCAATCACCTCTGAGGAAATGGGAACCATGAGTAAATATGGCTGTAACCACATACAGTATTAGTATAAAGCATTTTAATGAGTATGCAGGCAATTCTGGTGACAAACTACAATTGCTACTTGACTCTTCTTTAGCACTCATTCCCAACTAAATGATATGTGGCTGTTAGTGAAAGCAATACAGCACTGACATTTTTTTAATGTTTGCATACCTGTGTCAGGAAATGAAAAATACACTCCGTCTTTAGTCATCAAAAGGTCCAGAATTTTTGGAGCATGAGCATCCAGTTTCATTGTAGAGGTTTCTTTTGTATCAGGGCTGATCTTTCCTGCACCTGGAAATCCACAGGCATCCCTGTTCTAGATAAGCTATTGTGATCCTATTGTGATTCTGCTTTGGTCTTATTTTATCAGAAAATGACAATTAGAAGCAGCAAACATAAGAACAAAACAGCAAGACTGTGCAAATGACAATCTGTCTTGATCGAGTTTCATTGAACAGGGTTGGCCTTTTCTCCTTGGGCAGCAGGGCAGAGCTTAACAACTGCATGCCTTCAATAAAAGGACCATTTTTTCACTGATGTTTTATCATTATTATTGTTGTTTGTTTGTTTGTTTTTCTTTACTTCATTGTGCAGATCTAACCTCTCCTTCTCTAAGCGTTCTATAATCTCCTCACACGGATGAGGAAAAAGATCGTTTACTTCTGCTTTCTTGGTCCTTTAAAGTCTTTGGCTAGTTCCTTTTCTCCAGACAGTTCCTTTTCAAAGAATTCACCCCAAGTACTCTGCAAGTAATCTGGCAGCTTCATATTTTTGAGCAGTAATTTCATACTTGCCAGTACAAGTACATGAATTTGCGGGATAGGTTGAATAGTGAAAAATATGGTACTGTATGTTAGTTTCTCCAGTATATCAGACCTCAACTATGGCTTGCTGAAAAGGTCTCCTTCCCTTAAGTAGGCTTCATTTCATTAATAGTTCCACATCAAGCATAAGTCCACATTAAAATCCAGAAGAGCAGCTTGTTGAGCAATTATCGTCCACAGATGACTGACTGAATTGTGGTTCTGGAGCAGAGGTCATGAATAATCTTGGAGTAAGGAAAATTAGTGTGTCCATCTTAACAACTTAAATTGGCTCTTTATCGCCCATGTCCCTTTCAGATATGGTTAAGGTATAAAAATTATGCCCTTAATAATGGATCTTTATATCTTAAGCAAAAGTCTCCTTTAATGAAAAATGTGTCTTGTACTTTTAAGTTAACTGTATAGGAATACTCACAGGCAGTGTCAGCTTGCAACTGTCATGTTCTTCTATAATGACACATAGTTTGGTGGACTGAGGCATGACTCTGAGTAAGAATGAGGGAATCTGGAGCACATTGTCTTTCATCACCAAAATGATAAATTAAAAAATGACTATGATCATAATGTTTGATGATATGACCAAGTGACCATTGTAGTACAGTATTTGCTGTGTGAAAAGCTTGAAACTTTCTCATTGTATACTTAATGATCTTATAATGGGACCTGATGCTTGAGCTTCAGTGAAATATATTTATTTGATACCTTATCCTCAGGACTTCCAATGAATGCCTAGTAACAAGTGCAAATTAGCTTTTTTTAAATTTTTAAATTTTATTATAAGGATTCATCCGACCGTCGAGAAACCACACAAAATTAACATCCTGACTCATTTTGATATGGTGGAAGTATCTCCAGTATTGGCTTTTTGACTGAAGAGGGCAAGATGGGATTTTAGTGCTGATAATGCACTTAATGGTGTTGGAACTTGGGTGTTGTTTCATTAATAGCTCTGATAGTCACCACCAAGGACAAGAACTGAATGCAAGCGTCTCTGGCCAGAAAATGAAGAGAAACAAGGATAGGGGAAAAATGGGAGCATTTCAGGTGAAATTGCAGATACGCTGCATTTTGAATCATCAGCAGCGGTTAGACAGTACAAGCTGGTAGCCCTGTTAGTAAGCAGTTGCAGTAGTGTAGTCACAAGATGACAAGTGCATGGGCTAGAAGTTGAGCTGCGTATTCATATACAAATAAGACCTGATCTTCCATGATTTAGCTCAGAGTGATTCTACAAGACCAAGAAATTGCTGCTATTTGGTCAGAAAAGAATAGCTAGGCGAATATTATTTGACCTAGGTTCCAGTCAGACCTTGATAATGACAATGTCAATGACCCAGACTGTACAATGCTGTCACGCTGGGTGTCAGGGCTGGCAGGGAAGATGAGAAGCTCAGTTCTTAAAAGGTTCAGATGTATGTGCTCTTATCCAGGCTGTGTGGGTAAGACATGCAGAGACTTTGGTGTCTTGGAGAGACGGTCAGGTAGAGCTGGATGTCATCACTAGCAGCTGGAGAAACAATATGACTGAATGATCGGACCTAGAATGGCAGTGTATGGGGGCGGATGGGGGGGGGGGGGTACCAACTGAACATTTAGGAGCACCAGGTGTTGCTGGATGTGACCTGGAAACATCTGTAGAAATAAAACAAAGCACTGTCAGAGTGAGAGGTGAAAGACCAGTCGGTAATATTCAGCTAGTAATGGCTCAACATGGGGTTTTTTAAGTAGTATGGTTACTAACTAGCAAAAACAACCGTTTCCTACTTTATAGTTAAAAGGCCAGCTAGCCAAGTGGAATCATGCATTAGCTAAGCCAGGAGATATTCAGTGCATTATACAACAGGTTTTCCCCTCAAATCAGGTGGTTTTCTGTATACCAATGAGAACAATAGTTCACCTCCATCATTTAATTATTATTTAATTGACGCTGATGATGAAAAATACTTTGATGTTTATTCTGTTTTGTTACTAAGAATAGTAATGAATCTTGTTTGAATTGATGCAATGGCAGATACTCACTCAGGACTGTCTAGCAGCTCCCCATTGAGTATTCTTTGAGTATTCTTTTTCTGTGGAAAGGGTATGACTATATGGAAGATGGTCTGCTTCAAGTTAAAATGTTTTTTTTTAATGATTTTATGGGCAGCTGCAATTAAAATTAACACAATGAACTAACGATATATAATACATAATGAAATGTGAAACATACACGTTATGTTTTCACCACAAATTTGCAATCATCAATTAAGCAAGGAACTTAAAGCAATTAAGTGTTAACTTACTAGTTTTGACATGTACAATGACATCAATTCAAACAAGATTCAAGAGTGGAGTACATTTTATAATTGTTGACACAAGATCACACAGTTTTTATCTATATACTTCTTTCTGTGATCTTGTTCAGAGCACGTGTTGTATGACCTGTGCTGGTTTATATGATTTATGGTGTTCTAATTGATGAAAATGTGTTTTAAACCATTCTTAGTATTAGTTCTAACCTGGAAATTAAAATATAACAGTTGCACAGAGCAGTGAGAAGATTATATATGACCTGCAGTGCCATAGATTATGTTGGCCTTCATTTTTTAACATTCAGACAATGAGACAAATGATCAGTTATTAGCTGCTTGGTCCTGCCAGGACGAGGCCTGTTGCTGTTAGCAGAATTGGCATACACCAGTACATGCCCTGATTGCATTATATTACAAATATAATTACTTGCTAATTCCCTGTAAACCAGTCACAGTCAGCTGTGTGAAGATCCAAATCAGGCAGCCACTTAATCTGATCTGACAGGCCCCTGTGATGCCAACTTGGTTGCCATGGGAGATGTTCAATCATGTCAGCAGTCTTAGCTTGACCAGAAGCAGCAGAAACGCCCATGTCCCTTTCACAACCTCTCCGCTGCCACCTGTTTCTTTCTGCTTGTTTGGCAGATGCTGAAGCATTTTCCATTTGAAGTATTTTCGCAAAATACAGTTTTCTTTGTCTGGATATGTGAATATATATTATCCTTCTACCAAATCTGCCCTCTGACATAGCAAACATTCTATAATTTTCCAAAAAGCTGCAATCGTGTCTCTTCCCTTTGATCATACTGGGAAACCAGAACAGTTCCTTCATATCTTTCCATGCCTAGTTAACTTCTGGAGGCTACCATCTTACAAAAAAATGAAAATTATTTCCAAAGTTAGGCTTTACAACTCCTCTGTGGAAGTGTTTATATAACACGGCATTTTGCTTGTGGAAGAGCTGAGATGCCTATGAATTATACAGCTCTCGGTACATTGTGTCATATCGAAGAGCCATCAATCACATTTGCTCAACTGAATTGCCTTCTCAAATTAAATCTTTTGGTTTTAAGCACTTGATAATGTAATGCCTTCTTTTGAATTTTACCAACCAAGAAGCAAATTTCACACAGCAAGACACTAAATCATGTGCATACAGTATTTCAATGTAGTTTATAATGCAAGTAAAGCAGAGCAGTATAATTGCAGTAATAGAATCACAGACAATATATTGCATAGGAAATCTTGGTGTGTGTTGTATGGGATGTCATTCCTGGCACACACTAATAGGAATATAGACTTGCCATAAATACATGTCTGTAGAGGTTAAGCAGAATGCATCTGCAAAAAACCTCAACAAACACTATGACATGCAAAATACACAGAATAGGATTAAAACTAGCTACACCCAACTTCCTTTATAACTCTAATTCAGTTAAAATTCAGGGGAGGTATTTCCTCATTATTCTTGCTGCAGAAATATTTACAGCACTGAATGGGTATGAATTAGAATTTGATGAGCTACTGTAACCTGGTGTTTAGAGAACAATTTATGATCTTGGATGTAGGTATCTGGTATCAGGTGTCCTGGAAGAACTAAATTACAGTGAGATGCATTAATGTGTTTGATCACACAGCTGATAACTTCTTTATGCCAGGATAAAAGGAGCATATGTCAAGATCAATTCACCAGGATAGTGGAATGTGTCAATTTTTTCCTGGAAACACTAAAATGTGCAATTCATTTGCTGTTCACAGGGAAGAGTCTATCAGGTCCACACATTTCGAGACGGTGGATGACCTGCTCTCCTCCTTTGGACCAGTTCGCGACTGCTCCAAGGACAATGGTGGCTGCAGGAAGAACTTCAAGTGCGTGTCTGATCGGCGTCTGGACTCCTCAGGCTGCGTGGTACAGTGTGATCGTCTTACATTGGTGACTTCAATAATGCTGGGATACAGGGCTGACTGCACAGGGCTGACTGCACTGGGCTAACTGCACAGGGCTGACTGCACAGGGCTAACTGCACTGGGCTGACTGCACAGGGCTGACTGCACAGGGCTAACTGCACAGGGCTGACTGCACAGGGTTAATGCACAGGGCTGACTGCACAGGGCTGACTGCACAGGGCTAACTGCACTGGGCTGACTGCACAGTGCTGACTGCACAGGGCTAACTGCACTGG